CTCTGCTATGCAGTAACATGAATGAAGTATCACTATGTGACGCTTCAAATACACTGCATTAGCCTACACTGTAAAACACTACATTTTATCATGTAGGCTATATCTACCTTAAACTCAGCCCTCCAGCCTTCAAGGATAAAATATAGGCAGGTACCTCTAGCAGTAGCTAGGTGTCATCCTGGTAATGTGGCCGCTGGTCCTGGCATAGTGATGTTTGATGACGGGTGGCAACAAGACAGGTTGGAATACAGAGTGGCATCAGTGAACCAGTTGTTACAGTTGGAAACAACAGGGAGGAAATAACAATTATTTTATCCAATTTTTTTGGGTTTTGGCTTACTTTTAAAGTTTCCCCCAATCAGATGTTTTATCTAAGAAGGACTGGGTGAGTTCCCAAGCTTTTGCATAAGACTGTGTATTACCTGAATACAGATTGAATGTTTAACAGTGAATAATGTAGACAATTAACACACTACAAGACACTGTACATATGCACAATGAAAATATAAACAAAGGTTTTCTTTATATTAAGCGGCTGTGATATAAACTTGCCCATTCAGATTTCATTACTATTCGGTCCTCTGTGCAAGAGGGTGCCAAATACTATTTTTCGCACTTTTATTAAAACAGTCCTAATCATAAAAAAACACAATCAGATTACAAAAAAAGAACCATGAAAAAAACATGAGTTTATTGGTGTAAATGCAATAGTGACATCTACAAGTGCCACATGTAATGTCACGCGTGTGAAGTCATTATAACACCGTGGTCTATGTAATGTGCCTTCTGTTATCTCACAGTGTGCTCGGACTCAGCAGAGGCAGTAAAGCCAAGTATCTCATCTTTCTGCATCCATGGATAGTAGAGCAGGAAATGACAGGACCCTGGGAGGTTAACCCAGGCAGCACCAACCACTGGAGAAATTCCACATGAGCTCATGATTTCTGGGCAAAGATCTATGTCTGGGATTTAAATATGTATAATTCCAATATTGCCTTACATCTAATGCATGAACACAGGTCATTCGAGCATTTCATCCCTTCTATATCACTGCAATCCAGACTGCACATGAAGGCAGCATAATATTCTTATCTTCCAAGCATTTCTAAATGTTTACTTTCATCAGTAATTTGATTACTATGCATCCAAAGTGATGGTTTAGGTTTGTGTTTATGTTCAGAGCACCAGAACTATAATGGTTTCCATGGAAAATTCATCCTCTAATGGCTGTACTCTTGGCCACCATCCTCTAAGGCAAGCGTTATTGTCCATTTTCATCATAAGCTAATTTAAATATTACTGGATTATAAGAGCTGCAGCAATTTTCCTTTATATATCATAGAAGCTTAATGGTGCTCCCAGTCATTCAACACGAAGTTACTTTGAATGCTGCTATCAAGCACCTTTTTGATCCTGTTAAACAGCCAGTCAAAGCCTATGGCCACCATTCCACACTTGATTAGGTTTGCACTGCCCCCCTATGTGTGATCCTAAACTATAAGACACAAGAGACTAAATGGGTTTTAGTCCTCTGAAAACTGATGGTGAATATTGACCATGAGAGGCAGTGTAAAAGTTTGGCCAGATCCCAGCTACCTTTTGTGCACCACCGGTGCCTCTTTAGAACTGTCCTTCTGCTTTTCTGTAGCCCATTGGGAATACTCAGTGCCAGCTAGACCTGGCCAGTCCTGGCTGGTTGAGGAGAATTGAATTGAATGCCATAGACGTGTGCTTTCTGAGTTATCCACTATGTGTGCATTCAGTATTGTGAGAGGAAGTATCATCGCACTTTATTCTGCATCTAAAGGGGTAAAAATAAACAGAACAAAATCAAGCCAAATGAGTCAGTTTATTAAGCCAAATTAATTATTTTTTCACTTGCATTGAATATTTTATTTCATGATAATTTTCTCCGTCAATTTACACGAAATAGGTGTATGGTCATTAAAGACCAATTCCAAGCACCAACACCCATCCCCTAACCCCATGGAGTCCCCTCTTGCATTAATATGCATATCCCAGTCACATGAGATGAAGTCCTCTTATTCTTCACCATTTATCTGATGCTGAGCAGTCCTTCATGATCCACAGAGCAGCATTAACATTGTGACACATCAGCTCTGTTTCCTGTATTATTGTACGGTGTCCAGGGGCGGACTGACCATTCGAGCACTCGGGCACTGCCCCAGGGCCCAGGGTCAGTAGGGGGCCCCATGAAATGCCCCTGGTACCTTTTATAGGCTTTTTTTGGTGTGCTTTGAGTGTGGGCAAGGACACAGGGGCCCCATGATCCCCTATTGCCCGGGGGCCCCTTAAGTTGTCAGTCCGCCCCTGACTGTGTCAGTGCAGAATCTATGAGGCTCTGCATTCATGGTATGTTCTCAGGCTTTTGGGTTAAATGGGGCTGGGTATCATTCAGTTTTGAAGATGAATGACATCTTGTGGGTAAGAATATGTGTTGGTGGACAGATAGAGATCAAAGCAAAGCACTCAATCATGCACCCCAGTCAAGCAGACTGAAAGGCACCAATGCAGGACTAGCTTGACTTCAGTACAACATCCATCATGGTTGCATCATGGTTTCATCAGAGGTTCCAGAATGAAAAGTATGTTTATTAATTATACAAAGCTAAAATGCAGCCCTACCGGAGAGCTGACATGTTTCAGCCAATCTGGCCCTAGTCATAGCTGCTTGCTGAGATCTGCAGTACTCCAATAAATACATCCATGCCAAGAACACAATGTGCAGGATTACAATCTACACCAATTAAACATAATCACAAATGACCAGCAAGAAAAAAAGAGTAGCAGAAAAAGGAAAGGAAAATACTTAAAAGAAAACACAATCCACTAAAAGCATTTAATACCGCAGCCTGAACTTAACCCATAGGCCCTATTCACACTTGAACATAGCATTTTTGTGTATTTTTGCTTGTTTTGTCACAAGGTTTTATGCTAATTTGTGCAAGTTTGTGAGCGGTTTGTTCATGCATTTTTTGAGGTCTGGTGTTTGTATTCGCGAATAGAGAAAAATTTAATCTGTGGCATCCTTTGTTGCCATGTTTTGCCAGAAAAACACTCTTGGTCACGCGTCAAAACCCATTAAAGTGCATTTGCGCATTTCCATGTATTTCTATAGGAATGAAACCGTGCCAAAAATGCATCAATCTGCCCGAATGGAGAAACAAAAATAGCTCCAAAACTATTTTGAGCTTCAGGTGTTCTGCTTCAGGCGATTTGGAGTGGAGATGTGAGCCATAATGTTGATTTTTTTTTCTCCCTGAGCGTTTCAGAGCTTTGCGCTACAAAATGCTCAGGTGTGGGGACTTATAAGAGGATCAGAATGTAGTACTTACATCAGAAATCATTTTAACCACTTTACAACCTTGCTACAGCGGCGCTCACCTATGGACACAACTGATCACATGACAAGGTAAAAGGCCAATCACAGCGGTCTTTTTCCATGTGATCAGTTGTGTCGAATGACACAGCTGATCACAAAGTAAATACAGTTGCCAGTTATCAGCAGCACTTTCCTCACACTGTCACAGCATGTCACGGCAAGTGTCACATCTGTGATTATCAGTGCCCTGATTATCACTGCAGCACTAAAAATGCCAAGCAGTGCCACTCATCAGTGCCCAGCAGTGCCACTCATCAGTGCCCAGCAGTGCCACCCTTCAGAGCACATCAGTGCCACCCCTCAGTGTTCATCAGTGCCGCCAGTCAGTGCTGTCAGTCAGTGCCACCTATCAGTGCTGCATATCAGTGCAGCATCATCCGTGCCTCCTCATCAATTCCCACCAGTGCTGCCTCATCAGTGCAGCCTATCAGTGCCCATCAGTGCTGCCAAAATATATTAGAAACAAAGAAAAACTTTTTTTCACATTTTTTGCTCTTTTTTTTGTTTATAGTGCATAAAATAAAAAGCACAGTGGCGATTAAATACCATCAAAATAAAGCTATATTTGTGTGAAAAAAAATGATAAAATGTTCATATGGGTAGAGTGTTGCATGACTGTGCAACTGTCATTCAAAGTGCAAGAGCGCTGAAAGCTGAAAATTGGCCTGGGCAGAAAGGGGCTAAAGTGCTGGTAGGCAAGTGGTTAAAAAAAGGTCCAATGTCTCATTGACGGTTGAGACTGTGAGGTAATCTGTTATGGGAATGGAAAATCCACCATACCTCTTGCTCTAACAAAAGACATTGCGCAGGAAGTTCAAGGGAGGAGCAAGGGGTTCAAGGTTCAAGACACAGAAGGTTCAATGCAGGACCATTCAAGGAATTGTCCACAGAGCTGTGCAGCATTCCAGGTGGCTCAATAAGAGACGTTACCAGACACAACAGAGTTTGCTTGTTCAGATCTGGATCCTGACAGTTTGTTTTTTCTTGTTTGCATATCTTTTTCTGCTATTCTTTTTTCTTTCTTTTTATTTATGATTATGTTTAATTGGTGTAGACTGTAATCCAGCCCAGTGTTTTCTTGGCAAGGATGTATTAGATGGAGTATTGCAGATCTCAGCAGGCAGCTATGACTAACTTCAGAGTGGCTGAAATGCGTCAGATCCCCTATAGGGCTGTCTTTTAGCCTTATGTAATTAATAACTTATGTTTTATTCTGGAATCTCACTGAGATGCAGACTTTTTATTGTGGATGTTATTTGGTGGACAAAGCCAGTGAGCATTTTTTTTTACACAGTCTGGGTGCCCAACAGCATTAAAAAAATATCCAGGCGTTCAATTTAAACGTAATGTGTTTCTCTACCAAATTATCTTTTTAAATGTTTAGATAGAGTACAGAATGGCTAAAATCATGCTTAGACTTTTTTTTTTGCTATCCTTGTCTTGTTGGGGTGCTCTTTTCACAAGAAGTGACAGCAAATCTCTACACAGTGTCACCAGAACAGGTTTACCCAATGCAATCACCTTCTGTTTCAGTGACAATTAAAAAAACATTCTTATAGATCTGTAAATTATTATCTATGACTGAAAAAAAATCTGCACTCTACTTACCATCCCCCCAGCCCTCAGAGACACCAGCTAATTCATAATGCTTCTTCCTTAGTTCTCCCAGCTTTTCTCTCTCCTTTTGCAGCTGACTCTCTAGTTCAAGAACACGCACCTGATCAACATAAAAAGTGGATTTACTTCATAGTGATTATTCATGACCTTACAGGGCAATAGTATGTTTTTTGTTTATTATAAGGCAGATAGCAGTGTGCATAGTGCAGCAACCCCCCGTAGGCAAACAGACATCATTATTTATCTAACTTATGAATAAGAACACCAAAATCATAGTGTTTCTTCTGGATAATTGTACACCAATAGGCCTTGCCACTATGAACTCAAAAAGAATAAACAGTATAGTGTTTTTAGTGATGACAAAATATTTTTCCTTTCCTTTAATGTAGTAAATATTTCACAAAAATGTTATTTTTTTTCTATTGCTGACAGCAGGTGGCAGTACAACCTTCCAGCCCATATATGGATCAAAATTCAGCTGGTCCCTGCTGGACCTGACGAATTCCGATCCATGAATGGCCAGTTTAAGCATGCAGACAATCCTACAAATGGATGTGCTCTTAATTACATATTTATTTGTGAATAAATACTTTTTATGCAGAATAAAAATGATAAAAACAGTTGAGAAATTAAAAAAAAATAACCAAATACATTATATTTTCCCTTTAATGTGATGTTAAATATTGTAATAATATTTTTATGTACAGTTGCAAGAAAAAGTATGTGAACCCCTTGGGATTACGTGGAGTTTTGCATGAATTGGGCATAAAATTGTGCTCTGAACGTCATCTAACTCACAACAATAGAAGAACACAGTCTGCTGAACATAATACTACACAAACATTAGATGTTGCCATGGTTTAATTGCACATAACATGTAAACATTCACAGTGAAGGGAGGAAAAAGTATGTGAACCTTTGGACTTAATAACTGGTTGACCCTCCTTTGGCAGCAATAACCTCAACCAAACATTTTCTGTAGTTGCAGATCAGACCTGCACAACGATCTGGAGTCATTTTGGACCACTCCTCTTCACAAAACTGTTTCAGTGTAGCAATATTCTTGGGATGTCTGGTGTGATTCACTCTCTTGGTCGTACGTTTTCCTGCAAAATGTCTTGATAAACTCTGGAATTCATTTTCCCATCAATGACAACAATCCGTCCAAGCCCTGAGGCAGCAAAGCAGCCCCAAACCATGATGCTCCCTCCGCCATGTTTTACAGTGGGGATGAGGTTTTGATGTTGGTGTGCTGTGCCTTTTTTTCTCCACACATAGCGTTGTGTGTTCTTCCCAAACAACTCAATCTTGGTTTCATCTGTCCACAGTATATTTTGCCAGTAGTGCTGTGGAACATCCAGGTGCTCTTTTGCAAACTTCAAACGTGCTGCAATATTCTTTTTGGACAGCAATGGCTTCCTCCGTGGTGTCCTCCCATGTACTCCATTCTTGTTTAATGTTTTCCTTATTGTAGATGTGTCAACAAAAATGTTTGCATGTGCCAGAGATTTCTGTAGGTCTTTAGCTGACACTCTGGGATTCTTCTTTACCTCATACAGCATTCTGCGCTGTGCTCTTACAGTCATTTTTACAGGACGACCACGCCTAGGGAGAGTAGCAACAGTGCTAAACTTTCTCCATTTGTAGACAGTCTGCTTACCGTGGACACATGAACATCAAGGCTTTTGGAGATACTTTTGTAACCCTTTCCAGCTTCATGCAAGTCAACAATTCTTGATCGTAGGTCTTCTGAGAGCTCTTTTCTGCGAGGCATGGTTCACATCAGACAGTGCTTCTTGAAACCAGTAAACCAAAAACAGGTGTGTGTTTTTTTTAAGGGCAGGACAGCTGTCAGCAACACATCCAATATCATCACACTGATTGGAGTCAAGGTTGGCTCACTCCTGGCTCCAATTAGCTCTGGGAGAAGTCATTAAGCTAGGGCCTCACATACTTTTTCCTCCCTGCACTGTGAATGTTTACATGTTATGTGCAATTAAACCAAGGCAACATCTAATGTTTGTGTAGTATTATGTTCAGCAGACTGTGTTCTTCTATTGTTGTGACTTAGATGACGTTCAGAGCACATTTTATGCCCAATTCCTGCAAAACTCCACGTAATCCCAAGGGGTTCACATACTTTTTCTTGCAACTGTATTAGGAAAGAAATGGATTTGTAAAGACACTGAATCTTAACACTGTAGGTGAACATTACCTGGGAATCCATCTCTTGCCGCTTAATTTGAGTTAGCGTTAAGGTAGAGAAGTCCATTGTGTCTGTAAACCAAGAAACAAATAGAATTCTTTTAATCTTCAGGTAATGGTATAATTATTAGAACGATTTGCCATAACTTATTAGAATAAAATGTTTTTAAAAGATTTCTACTCCATTATGTTCCACTATCATCATTCACACTTCATTCAGTTTAATGGATGCATGTTACTCATACAGGTGAGTACAACTGTTTTATGCGGAGGCAGGTGCATGGGGCCTAGTGACTGTGTGGAGCCACCACAGGGAACACATTTTTTTTAACCCTGCAATACTGTCGTAGCAGTATAGGTAATACATTTCCAGATCAACATGACTCAGTTTCACCCATAGCTGCATACCTAATTAAGTTTCCTGCAGCTGCAACCTGCCACTACATCCTGCGGCTGAAATCTTCATCACGGCTGGCTGCTGCAATTACACTGCGAGCCTTTAAAGACTACTATGGGGCTGTCTTTTGACACTGGAGATACTTATGAAACTAAGTAGCTGGAAGAAGGGGTTGATTTACAACAAGGGGCTAGCCAAAATGAGTAAAGGTATTCCTAACAGTATATTTGTTATTAAACTGTGGTTAGGGGAGGAAAACAAGTTAAAATTATTTGGATTTATTTTGCAACCAATATTCCAATGCTTTGTCATGACCATCGTCAACAACAACAGAATAGCTATAAGTCAGGAAGGAAAGCCAATTATATCTGTTATCTGTCTGGGAGCTTATTTGGCCTTATTTCATCTTTGTCATTTGGTATCTGGAATGGGCACATTACCAAAAGAACATTCTACTTACCTACTTCATCAATCTGGGACTTGACCGATTTTGTGGAAGCCACCACACCAGCAGCATTGTGATTTACCACTTTCGAAGCTTGCTGCAATCTGGTCAGGTTAGTACTGTCCTTCTCCGATTTTACCTACAAAGAACAGTTTTTTGTGACAACAATTCAATTATTAGGTCTAATAGAAATGGGAAAAATATGGTATAACAGCAGACGTTTCAATGTTTTTAAAGGAATGGCAGTCTTTAATGGTGTTTTGCCCCATAGCAACAAATTAATGTCAAATCTCAATTGGGAAATGACAGTTGGACACTAAAAATGTAAATCTTCCAGAGGGCAAGTGGTTATAAAGGCATACCTTGGAAGCTGCTACAAGCTGGGCTGTGCTAGCTGCAATTTCATGGGAACATACAATAAGATCTTCAAATTTCCCTGCCCTTGGACAACAAGGTCTGCAGCATCCCTGTAAAACAACACAGGAACAGGAAAACACATAAGATAAAGTATAAAATTATGTCAGAAAAAAGTAAGGAAAACAAACATGAGTTTAGACTACTCTACATATTTCAGAATCCCTAATAGAATGTATAACAACTAATTTACACTAACAGTCTGCCATACAGGTCAAATGACTCAAGTTGATACACATACATGGACAGTTTAAAGAAATCCTACAGTGCCCGCAAGGTCCCTCTGCTCAAGAAAGCACATGTCCAGGCCCATCTGAACTTTGCCACCGAACATGTGAATGATGCAGAGGAGGACTGGTTGAAAGTGTTGTGGTCAGATGAGACCAAAATCGAGCTCTTTGGCATCAAGTCAACTGTTTGGAGGAGGAGGAATGCTGCCTATGACCCCAAGAACACCATCTCAACTGTCAAACATGGTGGTGGAAACATTCTGCTTTCGGGGTGTTTTTCTAAGGGGACAGGACAACTGCACCGCATCTGAAGGGATGATGGACGGGGCAATGTACTGTCAAATCTTGGGTGAGAACCTTCTTCCCTCAGCCAGGGCATTGAAAATGGGTCGTGGATGAGTGTTCCAGCATGACAATGACCCAAAACACACGGCCAAGGCAACAAAGGAGTGGCTCAAGAAGAAGCACATTAATATCCTGGAGTGGCCTAGCCAGTCTCCAGACCTTAATCCAATTGAAAATCTGTGGTGGAGGGAGCTGAAAGTTCGAGTTGCCAAACGTCAGCCACCAAACCTTAATGACTTGGAGAGGACCTGCCAAGAGGAGTGGGCCAAAATCCCTCTTGAGATGTGTGCAAACCTGGTGGCCAACTACAGGAAACATCTTACCTCTGATTGCCACAAGGGATTTGCCACCAAGTACTAAGTCATGTTTTGTGTAAAATACCGTATTGCCTCGATATTTTGTTAACTTGTATTGGTGAGAAAAGTTCAAAATAGAAAGTCCTACCAACTCTTGCATACACTCAAAAATTGATTTAATAATAATATTGCATAAAATCAGAAATAAAATATTGGAATACAGAATGTTTAAATAATGTTCAAAAAAATATAGTTAAGTTCTTGAGATATTGTATGTACTTTTGGATGTGTAGTGTGAATCTGTGTGTGTGTGTGGTCAATCTAGGCTTCTAAAAAAGTGTGCCTAAAAAGCCTTTGTTCTGCTCTTTAAGGAACAATTCAGCCCCCACCTTCTCCTAAAAGTGGGCTGCTATACTTTTCTGTCCCTTGTAGTCCCACAATGATGAATGGCAACAGATGTATATAACAAACCCTCAGTCGTCTCCACTCCCCTAGGAGTCTGAAATTCAATCTTAGGAACCTCTAGACAAAGCTTCACTGACATTCCATCAATCAGGGTAAATGAGATGTGTTTGTGTGTGTGTATATATATAATATATATATATATATAAAACTCGAAAAATTTGAAATATCGTGCAAAAGTTAATTTATTTCAGTAATGCAACTTAAAAGGTGAAACTAATATATGAGATAGACTCATTACACGCAAAGCAAGATAGTTCAAGCCGTGATTATCGTAATTGTGATGATTATGGCTTACAGCTCATGAAAACCCCAAATCCACAATCTCAGAAAATTAGAATATTGTGAAAAGGTGCAATATTCTAGGCTCAAAGTGTCCCACTCTAATCAGCTAATTAAGCCATAACACCTGCAAAGGGTTCCTGAGCCTTTAAATGGTCTCTCAGTCTGGTTCAGTAGGAATCACAATCATGGGAAAGACTGCTGACCTGACAGTTGTGCAGAAAACCATCATTGACACCCTCCATAAGGAGGGAAGGCCTCAAAAGGTAATTGCAAAAGAAGTTGGATGTTCCCAAAGTGCTGCATCAAAGCACATTAATAGGAAGTTATGTGGAAGGAAAAAGTGTTGAAGAAAAAAGGTGCACAAGCAGCAGGGATGACCGCAGCCTGGAGAGGATTGTCAAGAAAAGGCCATTCAAAAGTGTTGGGAACTTTCACGAGGAGTGGACTGAGGCTGGAGTTAGTGCATCAAGAACCACCACACACAGACGGATCCTGGACATGGGCTTCAAATGTCGTATTCCTCTTGTCAAGCAGCTCCTGAACAACAAACAACGTCAGAAGTGTCTTACCTGGGATAAAGAAAAACAGCCCTGGTCTGTTGCTCAGTAGTCCAAAGTCCTTTTTTCTGATGAGAGCAACTTTTGCATCTCATTTGGAAACCAAGGACCCAGAGTATGGAGGAAGAATGGAGAGGCACACATTGCAAGATGCTTGAAGTCCAGTGTGAAGTTTCCACAGTCTATGTTGATTTGGGGAGCCAAGTCATCTGCTGGTGTTGGTCCACTGTGCTTCATTAAGTCCAGGGTCAACGCAGCTGTCTACCAGGAGATTTTGGAGCACTTCATGCTTCCTTCCTCAGACGAGCTTTATGGGGATGCTGACTTCATTTTCCAGCAGAACTTGGCACCTGCCCACACTGCCAAAAGCACCGAAACCTGGTTCAATGACCGTGGGATTACTGTGCTTGATTGGCCAGCAAACTCGCCTGACCTGAACCCCATAGAGAATCTATGGGGCATTGCCAAGAGAAAGATGAGAGACATAAGACCGAACAACGCAGAAGAGCTGAAGGCCACTATTGAAGCATCCTGGTCTTCCATAACACCTCAGCAGTGCCACAGGCTGATAGCTTCCATGCCACGCCGCATTGAGGCAGTAATTGCTGCAAAAGGGGCCCAAACTAAGTACTGAGTACATATGCATGCTTATACTTTTCAGAGGTCCGATATTGTTCTATGTACAATCCTTGTTTTATTGATTGCATGTAATATTCTAATTTTCTGAGATTGTGCATTTGGGGTTTTCATGAGCTGTAAGCCATAATCATCACAATTATGACAAATCACGGCTTGAACTATCTTGCTTTGCATGTAATGAGTCTATCTCATATATATTCTAAATTTTCGAGTTTCACCTGTATATATATTCTCCTAAAAGTAATCTTAATATAAAAGTTATATCATATTTAAATATCGTAATCAAGAAATATTACAGTATAAATCTTGTAAGCCTGACATGTATGAAATAGATTCTTACAATTCTCTTATTAGTGAAACTTTAGCTCTTACAGAGATGGGGGAAGATGGGGGAGGGACAGCTAGACTACTACATGTTGCTTGAATGTAGAGAAAAAAAACCCAAGATATATATACATATGTATTCACATACATATATGTATATTCACATAGACTATAAAAAGTCTATTTATCTTACTTTTCCCAATCTAGAACAAATAGAAATATAACAACTCAATTATTCTATTAAGATCCAACTCGTTCATACATATGTTAGTACTGTTAATAAGCAGATATTAGATATTAGGTTAAGAAAAGCTTCTAACATTTTGTGAAGGGAATCAAATACTTATTTCCCTCATGAACATGCAAATCAGTGCATAATTTGTTAGACATGCATTTCTTTTGAATTTTGTGTTGCTATGCTGTCTTTCAGTGTTACACAATATACCTACCATTCGATTTTTAGACTGATCATTTCTTTGTGAGTGGGCACACATTCAAAATCAGCAGGGGATCAAATATTTATTTCCTTCACTGTAAGCTAACTTTGAAGCTAGAAGCGCACTGTTGCAGTTGGGCGCCTCTGTAAAAAGGCTAAGCAGTAAAGCTACCTTTTCTCCTTAACAATAATAAAATATATGCAAGACTTGGAAAACCAACTTTGTCTATCCAGCTACAGCCAGGTTTGACAAAAATGTCTTGCTGATTATGTAAAGTCCTAGCTACGTCTTGACGTCACTTCCGTTCGGCGGCCATCTTGGCTGCACTCCAAACTGGCTCTACTACGTGACCTAACCCAAGCTGATGCGAGAGGCCAGCAGCACCCATCCAGAGCATGGTATTTTCCCTGCACCGTGACTCCCAGGACAATCATCTGCCCTCCTCGCTCCTCCATTGGGACCTGCTAAGGAGCCTTGGCCCCTGGTACCTCAGCCATCTACTCCAGATGTCCAGCCTAGATGATGTCCTCTAACTATTACCTGATGCCTGATATTTACTCACATCTTGTGAGTTTTTAAATCTTGTGTGCAATAAACTGTTACCATTTTACTACACTTAGTCTGGCGCACCTCTCTCTCCTCTGTTCTCTCAACACAGAGTTCTGGGTTACTCTAGAGAGTGCGGCCTCACGACGGTGTTCACACTGCAGCTATATATATATATTTCTTACTAAACCCCCCTCCTGCCCAGTACTACCTGAGTTATAAGACTCCTCCACCATTTGAACTATTCAAGCTGCTAAACCCTTCCTGAACTACCAAATACTTTATTTACTCCTATATATACAGTTGCAAGAAAAAGTATGTGAACCCCTTGGGATTACGTGGAGTTTTGCATGAATTGGGCATAAAATGTGCTCTGAACGTCATCTAAGTCACAACAATAGAAGAACACAGTCTGCTGAACATAATACTACACAAACATTAGATGTTGCCATGGTTTAATTGCACATAACATGTAAACATTCACAGTGCAGGGAGGAAAAAGTATGTGAGGCCCTAGCTTAATGACTTCTCCCAGAGCTAATTGGAGCCAGGAGTGAGCCAACCTTGACTCCAATCAGTGTGATGATATTGGATGTGTTGCTGACAGCTGTCCTGCCCTTAAAAAACACACACCTGTTTTGGGTTTACTGGTTTCAAGAAGCACTGTCTGATGTGAACCATGCCTCGCAGAAAAGAGCTCTCAGAAGACCTACGATCAAGAATTGTTGACTTGCATGAAGCTGGAAAGGGTTGCAAAAGTATCTCCAAAGGCCTTGATGTTCATGTGTCCACGGTAAGACAGACTGTCTACAAATGGAGAAAGTTTAGCACTGTTGCTACTCTCCCTAGGCTTGGTCGTCCTGTAAAAATGACTGCAAGAGCACAGCGCAGAATGCTGCACGAGGTAAAGAAGAATCCCAGAGTGTCAGCTA